CACTACTCACCTACCCGAGACCGAGCAGTTCGACTCCCAGGCCGTGGCCCACCTCATGGATGCCACTGACACGTTGTCGAAGGCCATCAGCCAGCTGCCGACGGAGTCCTTGCCAGTTCCGACTGTGGCGGAGGTCCGCAGGGCATCCATGTCCTTCAGCTGGCGCACAGGACTGGCAGCGGATATGATGCCACCACGGGCCTACTCGCTCCTCAGCGACGAGGCCCTCGCTATGATGGTGTACCTCCTATGGGCGGCTGAGCGCTGGGGCAGGTGGCCCACCCCGACCCTGATGATTCACGTCATGTTGCTGGCCAAGACCTCAGGCGGTTTTCGCCCTATCATGCTTCTCTCGTCCCTCTACAGGGTCTACACCAAGATCCGCATAGGCCACGTTCGACGCTGGGCAGCTGACAACACGAGGCCTTTCTTCGCGCTGGGAGCGGGGCGCTCCACCATTGACGTCGGCGCCAGGACCATGGTCTACGCTGAGGCCGCGGACCACATCCAAGGGGACGAGGTCATCACTGCCATGGTTGACATCAGCAAGTGCTTCGACAGAGTCGACTGGAACAAGGTGGTCGAGGCGGCCCAGCGATTTGGGTTCCCACGTGGACTTCTACGGGCTGTTTTATCCATGTATGCAGCCCCGAGGCGCATCAGGTGGGGCTCCACCTATTCGTTCGCTGCTCGCGCCATGCAAGGCGTTCTCCCAGGCTGCTCGGTCGCAATGTTCCTGCTCCAGCTGGTGATGATGCTTCCCTTTGAGATCTACCAGGCCTCTCTCGCGGCCATCCCGCACACCCTCGACATTTACGCCGACGATATCACGCTGCAGATCACGATGCCGCGGGATGAGATCGTGGCCCACTCGGTCGCGGCCATCTCCCGCCTCGTCGTCGTCCTCACCGCCTTGCAGCTGCCCATCGCTCGGGACAAGGCCAAGATCCTCGGCTCGACGGAGACCATCGCCAGGTCGGTCGCCTCGCGCTTGGCCCAGCATGGTTTCTGCGCGGTCACTAAGCTGAGTATCCTGGGCCTGGAGTGTCGCGCGGGAGCTCGTCTCATGTACACCGAGGTCCACAAGCGCATCAGGCAGATGAAGGCCAGGATCCCGCGCTTCCGCCGCCTACGAGGATTGGCCCAGGTGGCGAAACGCATCGCTCGTCCGTGCATTGCCCCTGGCATGACCTATGGACTCCAGGTAGTCGGGGCACCTCCTGCTACGGTACGCACAATGACCAGATTGGTCAGGACGGGATGGAGCAAGACACCAACTGGCTCCTCGACGATGCTAGCTTCATTCCTGGAGGCGGCGCCCCACCTGCAGCCCGAGGTCATGGCCGTCGTCGAGCCCATCTACACGTGGGCACAGTTGGTCTTCGACGCACGAGTACCACGTGCAGTCCTACAACGTGCGTGGCGCATGCAGTCCTTGCGCCTTCAGTCTCCCACCTCGACCTGGTCTATGGTTGCGGGTCCAGCCAGTGCAGTGGTGTTGGCGATTCGACGGCTTGGTTGGAGACCGCTGACATATTGCAGATGGCACACAGGCAATGGGATGACACTGGATCTTGAAGATATGGCCCCCAACTGGATACGCGCTGTGGCAAGGCGCAGTTTCAGGTCAGTTCAATGGGAAGACTGGGCCAAGCGTACATCTCACTCTCCAGAACATCCTGAGCCTCCTCGAGACCCACGTGGATACTGGATCGAACCCGTCGCGGCCATGATGAACGCCGCCGAGGACGCCACCACCTGGAATCTCAGTCCACAGGCTCGAGGAGCGTTGCGATCTACGGTCATCGGTGCTCAATGGTCTCAGCTACGGCTTCACAAGATGGGATACTCGGACACCTCATCCTGTCAGCGCTGTGGACAGACGGGAGATCTGCATCACCGATTCTGGAAGTGCTCATATCACTCAGAAGCCCGATTGCGTGCGGTGGATGATGAGCTGGTCGAGATGGCAAAGAGGTCGCATGTGGCGGATCCCTTTTTCACTCGTGCTCTCATGGCCAGGGCGATGTTGCCTGACATCCCGCCGCCTGTGGACTCACAGCGGTGGTGGTATTGCATGGGAGGTCAGACGATGGACATCACTGGCACTGTCTACACGGACGGCTCGGCGCAGTGCCCGCTCTACTGGCCTGAGGCCAACCGTGCTGGTTGGGGATTGGCCATCCTTACGGGGCGCCGTCTCAAGGGCATGGCGTTCGGGCCCTTGCCAGGGCCCATGCAGACGGCTCAACGCGGGGAGCTGTACGCCGCGCTTCAGGTTCTCCGACATGGACGGCTTCCACTACACATCAAGACGGACTGTCTTGGCTTAGTCGACTCGCTGAAGTACGGAGAAGCTCACTGCTGCCACGTCCGCCGTGACAACGCGGACCTCTGGCGGCTCATCTGGAGGGCGATCAACGATCATGGAGGCATCTCAGACTCGCTCAAGGTCACATGGGTGGCAGGCCATCAGACCCTGGTCGAGGCGGGCGCCGACAGCCTAGACAAGATCGGCAATGACTTCGCGGACGTGGCGGCCAAGAAGGGGACACGGCTGCACGGCGTCCCGTCGGCGGCCTACGAGGAGCACGCGCGCCTCCTCAAGGCGGTCAGGCAGGCTGCGGGCTGGATCGGCGCGGCTCAGTCCTCCGCCATCCTGCTGGCGGACCGCGTGGAGGTCCAGGCCCGCAGGCAGCGGCGCACCAGCCGTCGCGGAGACGGACGCGCTCCCCAGGCGGCTGAGAGGGGCACCCAGCAGCGTGACGCGGCCCCTGCGCAGAGTGGAAAGTTTCACTCTCCCATCCTGGCCACCGTTGGGTGGCGATGTGCTTGCTGCCCTCGGTTCGCGCGAAATGCCAGAGGCCTCAGGAGGCTTCAACGTGAGATTTGCCCTGTGAGGGCGTTTCGGGCCCCCCCAGCCGAGGCTTCCCTCGGGAAGCGGCAGCTGGGAGTGCAGGAGACCTCCGAGGTCTCCTGGTCGAAACGGCGTCGGACGGGGGCCGAGGAAGGCCTCACGCCGAGCCTGGTGCGGGCCCCCCAGGATGATGGCGACTCGCGGGGACTTCGACGGCGGCGGTCTCACGACGGCGATGGGGATTGTCTCAGGGGAGTTCGGCCTCGTGGGACCCCTTCTCTCGTTTCGACGGACCCCCCCTCGTCCTTCGGAGCCCCCACAGCAGCTGAGGAGGAAAGCCGTCCTGGGTCCGAGGGAGTGGCACGCGGTTTGAGGTCCTGCACCCCATCCCCCTGTGTCCCCTCCCCTCCTCGCCCTCACCCTCTTTCGGACCTCGCCTCCTCCTCCTCCGCCTCCCCCGCTGCTGCGCCGCTGCCGCCTGGGCCTTCTGGTCGTTTTTCGAGGGTCTCGTTTGCCCAGGGACCTGATGCCCCCGAGAGGCCTCAGGAGGTGGTACGGGTGGCGGCGCAGGCGGCTAGCTCTCGAGGTGTGAAGCGCGCGTCGAAAGGGGCGCCCCCCTCCCGAGCGGGAGCGACGGTCCCTGTGGCCCCTCTCCCACGCTCGGGAGAGGTCCCCCCCGAGAGCGCGAGGGGGCACACCCTGTACGTGTCTGGGGATCTCGTGGGGTGCAGCCAATGCGGGGCCTTCTCGGCCAGGACGGCGAGGACCCAGCTGTTCTGGGAGTGCGACCCCGAGGCCGCCCTGACGGGCAATCCCCAGCGAAAGTGGCGGAGGGACAATTTTATGAAGGGCATCCACCCGAAGGGGAGGGTGTCCCAGGCCATCGTGCAACCCCGCAGGCTGCTGGTCACGGACGATGCGGTCCAGTGGCTAGGCCTACTCTCTATTTCGTGAGTCCCCTCGGGGCTCTCTTGGGACGGGGCCCTCATTGGCCCCGTCTCGGGTGTCTGGCGCACGGCCCTGGGCACCTCTCGGGTTCGCTTGGCGTGGCCGCGAAGCCTCGGCTGGGCTCTGAGCGCCCTGGGGACCCGAGTGTTTTTGTGATCGATTGCGCCTTCCTCTGCTTTTCCTGCCGCCGCTGCCGCCTCTCTTTTGCCTGCACTCCGCGCGTCGCTTCATGGGGTCGCGACTCCTCCTCCTCCTCCTCCTCCTCCTCCCCTCCTCCCCCTCCTCCACCTCCTTCTCCTCCTCCTCCTCCGTCTTCTCCTCCTCTCTCTCTCCCTCCCTCTTCTCTCTCTGCATTGAATTATTGTTTGTTCCTGTCGCGCTCCCCCACGGTAGACTGTTTCCTTGCCGCTTCGGTCCTCGACGACGTTTTCACTCGCAGTACTATGGCTGCCCCTCCTCGGCACCCCTGTTCTTTCCCGATGTTTCGATGCTCATCCTCCCCGTCGTCTTCCCTCGTCGCTCTCATCGCCCCTTCCCTCCTCCACTCCCTCTACCCTTCAGTTCTTCCTCCTTCACTCGTTCTTCCTCCCTCCTTCCTCTCCCTCCTTCGTTCCCTCTTCCCTACTCCACTCCCTCTTCGCGCTCGTCCACTCCCTCCTGCACTCCCTCCTTTTCCTCCAGTCCTACAGCTTCAGCTCGACTACAAGAAACCTTCCACAAGAGACCCCACCCCGAGACCTGGTGTGGGACTGTCACGCTCTCTGTGGCAAAACCACTGGCATTCAAGACACCGAGGGCATCCTGGAGGCAAGCAGGGTGCTTTTTTGGGGCATGTGCTTCCGCTGTGTTTCCTCCCGCCAGTCTCCCGTCGTCCTCCCTCCTTGCGGAAAAGCTCCGCGACCCGACTGCCGAACGACGGAGCTGCTTGTGCCCCGTAGGTGTTCCAGCCCACGCGCGTGCATGTTCGGTGGCGCTCTTCAATATGTTGCACGTCCCCTCTGGTCCAGGGGAGTCATGCTGCCATTCATTAGTCGCGGATGGGCCCGACCCGGTGTTGTTTGAATGGTTTTCCCCTCTTGCGTGTCTATGCACATGTTCTGACCGACGTGCGCAAGAGTCTGAGACGGCCGTTTTCATTTCCCAGGGGGGGGGCACTTCTCGTCGTGCCCTGATGGCCCGTTCGAGGGTGTCGTAGCGGATTCAAGCTCGAGAACGATCAGTGGCAACAGGTGGGGACGACCAAGTACGGTCCTCACATTGGCAGCTTGTTTGGCGGTGATATACAGGGGAACTACGACGGAACCCGCTGGGTGGTCAGCGCAACACGTGGCAAGGTGGGAGGATCGTCCGAATTCGTCGGTTTTGTGCGGGTGTATCAGTGGTCCAGCGGCGATTGGGTTCAGATGGGGGAGGACGCAGAAATATGTGGATTGGAGTTCGGCAGGTTCACGATGTTCGGTTACGCGGTCGGGATCAGCAGATCGGGCAACATTGTGGCGACAACCTCTCCCATGGGGCAGGTGTCTCGAGTGTATGAGTGGTCGGGCTCTGCGTGGTTTCAGCTTGGAGAAGACATCCCGTCAATGGGTGACCTGGTGCTCTCGGATGAGGGCAATCGGGTAGCAATGCAGGACGGCTACCAGATCTCCGTGTTCGATTACGACGGGACTACCAACGATTGGACCGTCAAGGGGCAGACTTTTGTGTATGGAACAGCTGTGAGCATGTCAGGCGACGGGCTCCGCGCGAGCGTCGGCAATTCCGGCGCGTACATTGCCGGCCCTGGCAAAGTCACGTCGTTTGATTTGTTGCCTCTCGGCCCGCTGCCAACGCCACCGCCTACGCCGAGCCCTACGCCATCCCCAACGCCAGCGCCCACGGCAGCGCCGACGTCGGCGCCTACTCCAGCGCCTACGGCACAGCCGTCGCCAGCGCCCACGTCAGCCCCGACGGCAATGCCGACGCCATCGCCTACGCCTGAGCCAACGGCGCAGCCTACACCAGAGCCTACGCCATCCCCAACGCCAGCGCCCACGGCAGCGCCGACGTCGGCGCCTACTCCAGCGCCTACGGCACAGCCGTCGCCAGCGCCCACGTCAGCCCCGACGGCAATGCCGACGCCATCGCCTACGCCTGCGCCAACGGCGCAGCCTACCCCAGAGCCTACGCCATCCCCAACGCCAGCGCCCACGGCAGCGCCGACGCCAGCGCCCACGTCAGCCCCGACGGCAATGCCGACGCCATCGCCTACGCCTGAGCCAACGGCGCAGCCTACCCCAGAGCCTACACCAGCGCCGACGCCGTCACCGACCGTGGCTGCCACTGGGGACCCCCACCTGACCAATGTACACGGCCAGCGGTTCTGGGGAGCAGACAGTCAAGTGGCTTCGAAGGGCCCCAACCCGAACTCTGGGGACGCCGGGCGCGATGCTCGGGGGGGAACTTGGGGATACATCTCCGGAGCGTCGCCGCCGCCAGGGTACTCCAGATTTCGTAATAAAGGGAGGGGGGTCTCATTTCGGGGGGGGTCTCTTCCAGGCTATCTTTGAGGGCCTGGGGGGGTCTGGGGACGATGTTTTGGAGGGTTCTCCCACGGGGGGGGGGTCTGAAATGGCTTGTCTTGGAGGGTCCAGACCCCCTCCCTTTTATTACGAAATCTGGAGTATGTGGGACCAGTGTGTCATGATTCGTCGACCACGCGGGCCTGGGGTCATCGGGGGCTCTGCGCATACTCGGAGTGCGTGGGGCAGGCGGGCCTGGAAGGGCCGGCGTGCCCTCTGTCTACAGCTACTCCGACGGTAGGACCCCGCATGAGAATCCTCTCGGCTGCAGTCTGGGAATTCCGTTCCTCGTCGTCCTCGTGATTGGTGGGGCGCCCTTGTTTTCTCCTCTGCGTCAGTCTCCTCCTCGCCCTTTCGCAGGCCCGAGAGCGACGGCACCTGCAGAATTCGGATGACCCGCTCGGATCAGTAACATGATCTGCGGGCCCCCTAGGGCGGGGGATCCCGCCCGAGACCTCCTCGCATGTCACTCACCAACTACTCCAGATTTCGTAATAAAAGGGAGGGGGTCTGGACCCTCCAAGACAGGCCATTTCAGACCTCCCCCGTGGGAGAATCCTCCAAAACATCGTCCCCAGACCCCCCCAGGCCCTCCAAGATAGCCTGGAAGAGACCCCCCCCGAAATGAGACCCCCCTCCCTTTATTACGAAATCTGGAGTAGTCTCCCGCACGAGACGTCCTCCAGATTCAAGGCTCAGCGGCCCAAGAGGCGGCGACCGTTACGGGATCGGGATGACCCGCGCGGATTAGCAGCATGATTTGCGGGCCCCATAGGGCGGGGGGGTTCCGCCCGAGGCTTCCTTGCATTTCACTCGCAGACGGGGCTCCCGTTCGAGACGTGCTCCAGATTGAACGTAGGCGTGCGCGTGCGATGACGATGACTACGGCGATGATGACGATGATGATGATGATGATGATGATGATGATGATGATGATGATGATGATGATGATGATGATGATGATGATGATGATGATGGACATGATGATGATGATGATGCTGATGCTGATGCTGATGATGATGATGATGATGATGATGATGCTGATGCTGATGCTGATGCTGATGATGATGATGATGATGATGATGATGATGATGATGATGATGGTGATGATGATGATGCTGATGATGCTGATGATGCTGATGATGCTGATGATGCTGTTGTGGTAGCGATGGTGGCGATGCCTAGATGGTGATCATGAGCAAGAGCTCGAGCAGGATGGCGGTGGTGATGCTAATGATTAATCGAGTACGTGAGAGATTGATCGTATAGTGATGGTGTGAGTGCATGCGTGGATGATTACGATGTTGTGAGTGATGGTGAGGAGGCTCCTGCTAGTATGATGAGGATGAGGATGATGCTGATGATCATGATGATGAGGACGATGGTGTAGGGGTTGATTGAGTGAGTGATTGTGCGAAGGGAGGGAGAGAGAGAGAGAGAGGAGGGGGAGGAGAAGAAGTACTGCCTGGGGTGTCCAGAGAAAACCAGAGACCCACTCAGGATGCTGGGAAAACCAGTCGATCCAGATGTGCGGGGTGGACAACGAACGGGCTCCTCCAGGCTTCCCGCCCTCCGCCTCTGCTCCGCTGCCAGGTTCGACGTCCTGCAGCCCGGGATCCACACGCTGCTCCAGGTCCCCAGGGGCCCCATCGACACGGAGCGCGTGCTGGTTCGCGTGGACGCGGAGGCCGTGCGGATGGGCGGGATGTGCAGTGACATTTTCTTCCAGTCCCTGAACATTTCCGGCAGTTGGGTCGACCAGCAGATGGGCGGTCCGTCTTCCTTCGCAATTGTCTTTCCAGCAGTTTGCAGCTCCACCCTGCGAGGTCGAAGTGAGGATCGTCCCTGGTGTAATCATCCTAAGCCGACAGCCGGCGTAATCCAGCCTAACCTCGTTTAGTCATATTTGACCTGGCTCGATCCATGGTTCAATGTGGGTGACGGTCGCCCAGCAAAACGGACTTAGTAGCCCTTGACCATTCCTACGAAGACCTCCAAGGAGTTGCCTCCTAACGTCCGATGCTACATCGCACTTCTCCTCGTCCTCCTCTCAAGGTCCCTTGGAATTCCACGTTGATGGATCCGCTGGCGGCGCAGGGAGCGCGACCAGGAGTACGAGCTGGATGCGGGTGGGGCCGGTGCTGGATCTGAAGGTGGTTTGGGGCCACACCAGGAGTGGCTTCAAGTACCTCAATCTTTTCGCCAGGCACTTGTCTCGGGTCACAGACTATCCGATCGGAGGCCTGCTTGGGGCAGACGATCACACGCGAGTTTCTACGCCCAGCGCTTCGTGCGAGCACAAGGTGTCGCTCGCGAGTCTTTCTGGCCCAGTACAGGGGGACTCTGCCTCGAGCGGGCGGAGCACGAGCTGACGCGATGGAGTCTCAGGTTCGTGCCAGAGTGCAATATCCTAGCTGGGTGAGTTCGAGTTGACACGCAGAGCGTCTTGCCAGAGGGTAGTCTCCTCATGCATGGTTTCGCCAGAATAGTGCGACCTCTGCCAACCGCTCAAACCTCAAGTGTAGGTATGAATCGGTGTCGTCCTCCGCCGGGCCATCTTTTTGCTGCGCCAATGGTTGGTTGGTGTCGGCTGCTGTCGGAGTCGCTCTTGCAGCGGAAAGTCGTTTGCAAGGCTTGTCATTTTGTATCTCCGAGCGGGAGTCGTAATTCGCAGACTGATGCGGACCAACAAGATCCGTTGATGATGATAAATCGTAGCCAGGCGCGGGAAGAGAGGGTCGAAGCGGGTGGATGGTGAGGAGAAGCAGGACGAGCAGGAGGATGTGGGAGGACGAGCGCGTGGAGGGAGATGAGGCTGGGAGGAGGAGATACGACGCGCAGCGGCAAGCACGCATCCTTCAAGCCGAGTGCAGGCCAGCCTCCTCAATGTCTTGTTCCACGTGGGGGCTCATGAACACGCGCACGTGTGCTCAACTCACTAGCGATCACAGTGCTCACTTGCCTCTGCATTATTAGCGTTGCTGCTTGGTGCGGTAGTCGGGGATGCCTTGTACTTGGCCATGCAGTCCGTCATAACGTTCACTTCTCTCTGCTTCAGCACACGCAAGTGATGGAAGGTGTCTTCCAGGATGCGGGCTCTCGATCCATTTGGTTTCAACAGGAGCGGGTGAGGCACGATAGGGGATACGGGCGGGTACAATCATCATACCACCCAACATGGATGTTGTTGTTGTTGTTGTTGTTGTTGTTGTTGTTGTTGTTGTTGTGTGTTTCCCCAACTTGGTTTGGTTAATGAGTCGGATTTGTGTGTTTCAAACTGGTGGGTTCTGAGACTGAATGTGTTTGACTGCAGCGATGTTTCTGCGGCTTCAGTGGCGCAGTGGCAATCCTGTGCGTTCCTTATTGTGCTAAGCGGCGGTCCTCTTGTTTTGTTGGCGTGTCTTGTTTCCTTGCTTCCATGATTCCTTTGTCTTCTTCCCTTGCCGCCCTCCTCTGATGTTGGGTTTGGGATCCTTTGTGTTTTTGTATTGGCGTCTTGGTTCCTGATGTCGGTTCCTTGGTTCTGTGTTTGTGGTTCCTTGGTTTCGGTGCGTTGGCTCTTTTGTCTTCATTGCTTGTACCTTTGATTATTTTGTCTTGATTACTCGGTATCGGTCCCTTGGTTCATCGGTCTTGGTGTTTTGGTTAGTTTGTCTTCGGTTCTTGATTCATGGGTTATGATATCCATTATCCTTGGTCTTGCTCCCGCTCTGCCACGCAATAGCATGCAAAGCAATGCCACCCAGTGCCAAGTGATACCAAGCAATGCCAAGCAATTCCAAACCATGTCAATCAATACCAAGAAGTGCCACCAACTGCCAGGCAACGCCGCACAATGTTGGCATTGTGCGGCGTTTTGTGACATTGCTTTGCATTGCTCGGCCGCCGCCCATGCGTCGGTAGCCGTCGTTTGCATGGGCGCCGCCATTTCGATAATTCGATACGCTTCGCGTAACCCCATCAGCTCCTCCTCCTCCGTTCGGTGCGGCCCCCCTGGCCACTCCGTGCTGTCGCTGCGCCTCGTGCTATACGCACTGCACGGGTTGGTTGGAGCCTGGCGCCTCGCGGGCGACGGCTCCACACGCATCGTGTTTGGTGCTCGCGTCCCGGCTTGGGGCCGCCTGCATCTGTAATGAGGGTCATTTTCTCCCTGGCACGTGCATCTGCTGCGTCGGCCTATGTGCCTTCGTTCCCAATTGTCTCGCCCTGCGCCCCAGCCGAGATTGACCCGCTCCCTGGAGCTGTCTTTGGATCCGCCGATCAACAAAAAAAGTAACCCCATCAGCACATCCAGACACGATGCCCATGCGAGTTGCCCTGATCAGGGATGTGGATGAGCATGCAGTGGAATAACGCACTGGGCAAGCCGTCATACTACCAAACGGGGGGGGATGGAGGAGGACTCGGAGGTGGAGGAGGGGGGGGGGCGACAGGGAGGAGGGAGAAGGAGGAACCGGTGGAGGAGGAGGAGGAGGAGGAGGAGGAGGGCGAGCAGATTGGCCAGTCGCTTTTTGGATGACTCTCGGGGTCTCTTCGGATGTCTCTTGAAACTTCTTGGAGTCATCTTGGCGAGTCTTCTGGGCCTCTAGGCTGTCCTGCGGGCTCTATGGAGAGTCTCGTCCCCGGAGCGTCTCGGGTGCATCGGGGGAACATTCTGGGGCCTCTTGGGGGTCCGTTGGAATCCTCTTGGAACCGTCTCAGGGGCTCTTTGGAGCCTTGGGGGGCATCTTGGGGCCACCTTGGAGAAGATCGATCGAAGGGTGGGGTACTACGTTCGTCCCCCCCCCCCCCAGTATGCCAAAGTTGGGCAGTGATGTTTGCTTCCTAGCCGATGCCTTCTCGGGGGTACGGGGAGGTGTCAAGACACCCTCTCCGCTCGCAAGCTGTCTAGCTCACTCCCACCCGCCTTCCCACCATATAAGTGGCATTCGAGTCTCGGCATAGCCAGCGGTCGCCACTGGATGGACAGCCACTGAGAACCAAAGCGGACGCCAGGTGCGCGACGCTCGCCGCGGGCTCCACATGCGGATGGTGTGCCATCCTTGTACAAAACGTGATCCCCCCCCCGTCCGCATGGTCTAGATGCTGATGTGGTGGGCGTCAGCATTTATTCTCGACCTGCACACAACAAGCATCATCATGCGGGCACCACCGCCGTCCTGTCCAAAAAGAATGCAAAGTGATCACGGGTGGCCAGGACAATACCCACGACGTTGTCGCAACGTGCGTTTTGCATTGTTTTTGGCCCGGACGGTCCTGCACAAAGCGGTTTCACTAAGGGCGCCCCGCCGTCCCTGTCAAAAACAATACAACGTGTTCACAGGGCGCCAGCGCACGGTCCAGATGTTGTAGCAATGTGCGCTCCGTATTGTTTTTTTGACAGGGATTGTGGATGGTGTTGGCAGGGTGGGCCCCGCAATGTGCATGTCGTTTTGTTTTTTTGACGGGTGGTGGGTGGGGGGGCAATGGTGTGCGCATGTTTCCGGGTTGGCTGCCGGCCGGGTGGGGGAGGGGGTGTTCATTAATAGCAAGCAGTGATCAAGAGATATCTTCCGCCCGCAAGCCGTCCCGATCACTCCCACCCGCCCTCTCAACATAGAAGGTGCACCCGAGCAGTTGCGTGCTCAGTGGTCGTTTTGGAAGGACGGCTACTGGCAGGCACCATTTGCGCGACGCTGGGGCGGGGTGTGCCAGCTGCGCCACGTGCCCCAGGTGCGCCATGTGTGCCACATGCTCCAGCAACGCTACGTGCGCCACTTTCGGGGCACGCGCGGATTGTGCCAGCTGCGCCCGCGCCAAGTGCTGATGATGGCCCTTTAGCGCGTTGTTTCCAAAACGTTGCGATTTCCAGTGAAGCGAATGGTTCTCACTGCGTTCCTGAGGGAGCAGAGATGGATGATGTTTTCCAGGAGCACCCGATGCTTCGGTGGGGCTGTCAGGCGTGCGGGCTCACGACCAGCTGGGCGCGTGTGCTGGTGTGTCGCTGTGGTGCGAAGACCCCGCGTGCTGGACAGGGCCCTGATTTCACAGGTGAGCACACCCGCGGCGGTCTTCATGCTCGCGTTGCTATGTCCATGGGTGGACGCCAAAATTGTAAGCTCGAGAAGCAGCTGGCGGAACACCAGGTGCGTCCCGACCAATTCGTGCATACATGCATACACCCCGACCGTCAAAGTCCAGCGTTGGCGGAAACGGACATTGTGGCGGTGGAGGCAGTGGTGGTGCCCGCGCCGTCGAAGCCGGACATGCTGATGAAGACCCCTTGTTTGCCCAGGCGTCCGAGCTCGAGATGGCCACCAAGGCGCGCGGCAAGGGCCGCGTTCCCACGGCCAATACATCCTGGCCACCCAGTTTCGTGGCGTCCGCGCCAAGCTGGAGGCCGTAAGGTCGGACATCCTTTATAGCGCCAGTGTGGGTCATCGGCTCGCGAAGGCGGAGTTACAATCCAGCAAGGGTTTCCGACGAAATGCGGGCTCGGAATGACGTGATGCTGGCGGCCACGGCGAAGCGCGACGAACTGGAAAGCAACTGTCGGGCAGTTGGGGCTGACGTGGCGGCTCTCACATGGCGGGCCCCTCTTTCCCAAAGGTGTTGCTGGCCAGCCTCCTCGTGGATTCTCCTTCGCTGGAAGTGTTCCCGGGACTACTTAAAGGCGAGGTCGCCATAGCGGCGACGCTCGAGGCCCAGGCCCCCATGGGCCCCCCGTCGCCCTGCGCGCAGGCCAAGTCGCAACAGCCGGACACAGCCCCCAAGAGCAGGGGGCGGCGGCGCAGACATTGATATTCCACGCGTTTCCGCCAGCAGCGGGAAGGCGGATAAGCGCCGGGAGCAGCACCGCGGTCGCAAAGAGCCGTCGGTCAAGCCCAAGCGGATGACCTGTTCAAGCGCGCCAAGACCGCTGCCTGACGTCGCCGAAGTTGTTGTACTTCCTTCGCTGGGGGCATTATTCGATGGGGCCCAGGCGCTGCTTAGGCATGGCCACGATTCGTCCCCTGAGCGTGTCGTTCCAAGTTCCAGGGCCGCGTTTCGGTCGGCTTCTTGCGAGGCCCACAATTCAATGGCGCTGAGTGCCTGTTTCTTCTCCCCCACGCTACATCGGGCGTCGCCCGGAAAGCGCCGGCCAGGGGCAGGGGGGGGATCGTGCCGAGGCCGCCCAGGGGAAGCAGTGCTTGGGCTCAGGCGGCTCTGGCGTCGGGGCCTCCTCGGACGAGGGGCGGGCGAATGTTGGCTTGCCTCTGCGCTCTGGTTTTGAGGTGGCCAAGTTCGGCCGCGGCGACGCCCCCCGCCGCCAGTTCCCTCGGGCAGGTTTTCGAAAGCCCTCGGGCACGGGTTTTCGAAAGACTTCGTCGGTGCGACTTAGCTGGGGCAATGCGGAGAAACGGCTGCCCTTATCAGACGCGTCAACGACGCGCGCGCAAGAAATGCGGGCGGCGGGGGGGGGGGGGGGCGCAGGAGAGAAGACTGCCGAGGCCTCGGCCATGGGATGGCGCGTGCTCTGCGCACTTATCGCTGCGCCCGACGGGGGCAATTTTCCGTTGGGGTGGCGATCTTAGCGCGGGCGGCGGTAGTTACGAGGCGACCAAGGTGTGCGTTCGCTGGTGGCGATGTTGGCCGACTTCGTTTTTTTTTTTTTTTTTTTTTTTTTTTTTTTTTTTTTTTTTTTTTTTTTTTTTCCCCCCGGGTGCCAATGTCGATTGCGCATGGTTCTACTCCCTCATTCATGCTATTTTGCAGGAGGCGGTGGACGC